TAATAATTCAATAAAGATCCATATTATTTTTTAAATATCAGGGTTACACTTCTTTATCATTCTTAAATAATCAAAACTACAAAAATAAAAAATGAACTGGCTCTAGCTGATACCCGTTCCTCTTTAATAACCATCTGCACTTGCAGACTAATGTCAGTGAACCTTCTGACCTTCCTCTTTATATCTCAGAAACATTCCCTATTTATATCAGATATTTTTCATATGTCAATGTTTTTCCATGACAATACCCCTGAACACATCAACAGTATTTGAAAAGACGATATAAATGAAAGAACAGGGCACAAATAACCAATCAAGGCACAAACATAAACAGAAGCAAACATGCTTAAAAGTACACTTTTATCAGAAGTACAATTCATTTTTTCTAATCGTTTTAGGGAGAAAAAATGTGACTTGAGTGCACCTTTAAAAGGCTGCATTAGCACAAAGCCAAGCACAACATTCAACAGCAGATTTACACAGCATGATCTGAACATGCATTATGTACATGTATGCAAAGCATTCAAATGCTTACTCTTAACTTTTTTGGTTGGGAAGCAATAATCATATCACTCATATCATTTACACTCCTCAGAGATGATAAGTGCGTGCCTCTTTATATAATGGTCACAGATAGTGGTAATAGATTACAGTTGTACATCCGGCTGTGATGACATGCTGCGGGAATTCATTAATACATAATCACAAATGCTCTCTGTTCAAATAGCATGTGTTCACTACAATCTTTACAGATATCAGAATCAACTACTGAGACTAATCCACTAAATGTCTAAAACAATCTGGAATTACATGGCACATTTTTATCTTTTTGAAGCAACTGCACTTTTATTTTGCCCTTTATTTGTAGCTCTGAGACCTCTTGAAACCAAACTCGTTCTAGCGTAAACGTTGAGCCATATTTTAGTTGACTACAACTGAAGAAATGTACAACAAGCATCTCTTTCTTTTTCAAGAGGTGCTGGAGGCCATAATGTTTGTGAGCAAAGTGCTATACTGTATATTTATGTACATTGTGATTCTGAATATTATATCTGTAAATATCGGTGTACATTTTGTTAAACGAACGGTAAGAAATCTATGAAAGGCAAACAGGTGAATTCTTGTAACACTGCTGTGTATGATATTGTTGTACAGTTAAAGCGTAGAATATTTAACTATTTTGTACATTGTGCAATAGTGTATGTGTTGTGTATGGGGGTAGTGTCTGTTGTATCAAGTGGGTGTGTGTGTGTGTGTGTGTGTGTGTATGTGTGTAAAAAAAAAGCTGTTTTATTTTTGCTATTTTGATGACGTGAGTCCCTTACCTTCCTTAATTCACCTCCAGCTGTGAGTTTTGGTTCCACTGTGAACATTTGTGTGTTCACACCGCAAAGATTGTTGGTTAGTGCACTGAACGGAAATTTTCTTTTACGCTTTTAATGTAAATGTTGGTTTAAATCTGATGTGGACGTCAGCTTATCATACAGACAGCACCTTCTGTACGCTCCTCTGGCCTTAGTATCCACAATATTATGGTTTGCTGCTTCTAGGTTTCGTCAAAATGTTCAAGCACTTTTTACGTTTAGTCCGACTATATTCAGCGCAATCATTATTAGTAGTGTTAGATTATTGTAAGACACACTTAGCTGGGACATTTCTGCACTTTTTGTCTCAAACCTATATGAGCACTGAGGAGGAAAGTCAAAAATAGAATACTTTTGCACTCTGGAAGTGCTACTTTAATCATTAGAAATATACTTGATGTGAATGTAAACGTATTTTTAATCCCCCAAAGTACTGTAAAGATCATCCGCGAGTAATTTAGTAAGAAGGACACAGATGAAACATGTACTGTTACCCTCCAGTCTACACTTGTGTGCTGTACTTGTCTTAGATTTATAAGCAATATTTCTGCAGGCATTTACTTTGGTTGGACGTTGGTCAGATGGTCTGTGAGGCCACAGGAACCGCTGTTACTCTGAGAGTAGCGGCGTTGGAGGGCTTCACTGCTAAAGAAGAGCAATGCTCTTAAAACTTTAGTCAAACCCTATTCAGTTGGGTGATAGCACATTCAGATCACTAGCCACAGTATACTATTAGCTATACAAGGACTATTTTAATGTCTCAGTGTCATTGATATTGTACAGTATTTCCAATTCACTTGGGGAAACGCTGAGTTATGAATATTAAATATGGACCATCACAAAAACGAATAATAAAAAGTTGGTTCTCACACTGAAATGTGTGTGTCTGATTTGTTCCTTGACTAATCAAGTTGTTTTCAATCACAATATTAAAAAGGCTGAGCATCCCTGTATTTGTGCTCTGGTGTGAGTCATCTGTGTTGAACGGTGGCCAGATCCATTGACTGACTGAAAAGGTTTCTGCCACAGCTTGGTGAAAGCCAATAAAAGAAAGAGACCTATAGCTTTCATTAAAGTGACGTGACATGTGGCCAAGTATGGTTACCCATACTAGGAATTAGTGCTCTGCATTTATCCCATCCTAAGTGCACACACACGTGTGAACCCAGAAGTCCTTCCTCTGGCAGGAAGTGATGCGGAAGTCAAAATGGAATTGACTGGTCATTGGATATGTTGAGATACGCCAACTTTCCTGAAGCTCTTAACAGCTGACTGGAAGCAATTAATGTCTACAAACCGATTAGATGAAAGCTCTCACATCCCTCTAAGAGATTCTCAACAAGGAGCACATGGAAAGATGTTCATTGCATTGTTAAAATTATGAAACAAACAGTAACTTAAAATACAAATATAAGAATTGTTAGAAGAATAAATAATATAAACATTTTTGGTGCATTCAGTTCCTTTAAATGAAAAGTGAAAATTTGCTGAAAACGCTTAGGCCATTCAAGGTGTAGATGAGTTTGTTTCTTCATCGGAACGGATCTGAAGAAATTTTCAGTACATCACTTGCCCACGAATTGATCCTCTGCAGTGAATGGGTGCCGTCGGAATGAGAGTCCAAACAGCTGATAAAAACATCACATTAATCCACACGACTCCAGTCCATCAATCCACATTTTATAAAGTGAAAAAGCTGCATGTTTGTAACAAACAAATCCATCATTACAACGGTTTTAACTTCACCTCTATCCATAATATTGCTTTCTCCATTGAAAAAATAATCTTGTCTGAATCGGGAGAGAAATATGCACAGATCAAGCACCGTTTACAAATGGAAAACTGCCCAAAACAGTTGTAAACAAATGGGGATGGACTTTTTTCTACTGAAAGAAGCATTATAATGTAGCAACGGTTTGAAGTTAAAATGTGTTGATGAATTTTGTTTCTTACAAACATGCAGCTTTTCACTTCACAAGACCTTGCAAGACACAGGACATTCACTGCAGAGGATCCATTGGTGAGCATGTGATGTAATGTTACATTTACAGTACCCAAAGTTGTTCTGATGAAAAGGAAACAAAATAAAGATTAGCTGGATGGTACTTTGTGTGTTTATACCCATAAGCACACACATGTGTAATGCCCCTTAGTTGAGCTCTCATTGTATTATTGAGGGCTGAAATACTAATCTAGTCACTAATCTATCTTTTATCTGTCTCTCATTTGGCTTTTAGGGTCATTAAGGAAATTTGAATTAACTTCCCCCAAATGCCTTTCAAGAGCATGTTAGGCTGCTGTCACCGTCACATGGGCCAATTTAGCCTTGAACTGTTGCATGAAACTCTGTTTAAGCATGAATCTCAGTAAATGAACGCTGACATTTATTAGGCTGCGGGAGTGTGAGGGAGTCGGGTAGCAAAACTAGTGTTGTCACCATCTGAGCCTCTGATTGTGGCTTCTGTTCCATCAAAGTCACACAAAGGCTTTTGAGGACAGTGTGTATAGCGTTTTAGGTCTTAAGGTGGCAGAATCTCTCATATTGTCTACTTTTGATTGTACTGTGTGTTAAGTTGTAGTGTTTTTAATATCACAGATGTTTTGGTATGAAAGGAGATGCCATAAGAAGACGACATGCGAGTATGTGTTTCTATTTTAGGGGGCAGAGAGTGCGTCATGCCCGACCCCTCACACTGTCCACTTTGTACACCCTCGTTTCATCTATATCCTGTAAACAGACTTTTCCTCCATCACAGGCCTGAGACACTGCCGCACTTGCTATCTCTATCTTTTCTCACACCCACTCACACAAACAGCTGTAAATCTAGGAGTGACATTCTTAATTATAGAACAGGACCTCGACGTCCGTCAGCAGATGTTTACTTGGCTGAGATGCAGCTTCCTGTTTTCCCATCACATTCTACCTGATTTAGCATCAGCCCCTCAAGTGCACAAATAAAATAAATTTAAATGTCTAAGCAATGAAACTCAATTGTAAAAATATACTTTTGCTTCCTTTGTTTCCTCCTCCTTTCTTCAGTATTCAAGGTCGCGCTTATGCAATACAGTAGGATATAAACATGTCAATAACAACAGTTTTGCTTGATATTATGGGAAAACATAACTCCATTCTTTAAGCATTTAAAAGTCTTTAAAATCTATATAAAAAAAACCTGAGTGACCTTACGGTTTCTGTATCCACTTGTCTTCTTAATTAGCATATTTGCCTTGTTTGTCAGTATCTTTAAAAATATCTTTAAAAATAAAGAATTACAAAACAGATTTACTTGGGAAGCAAAATAAGATGTGCATAAGATACTGTGACTAGTTTCAAGAGAATATATTCTAAATTACATTTATTTCTCCTTCCTTATTTTGTCTTGTTTGTAATACATTTTAAAACATCATATATTTCTGTGTTAGCAAAACTGACTATTTAGAAATCATAACTCCAGTCTTCAATGTCAAATGATCCTTCAGAAATAAATCTAATATGCTGATCTGGTGCTTAAATTACTTTTTTTTTCCCTTATCAATGTTGAAGACAGTTGTGCTGACTAATTTTGGTAGGAACCATGATACTTTTTCAGGATTCTTGACGAATCAACAGCATTTATTTTAAATGAAAGAATAAGTGAAACGTAAGGCAACAGGTGAATCAGGAAGATAAATGCTTTATTCCTGTTTGTCTCTGTTGGCGATTGTTGCGTGACTTTTTCCAGCATAAGCGAGCTGGAAGAGGACTGAGGAGCCCGCTGGGCCATTGTTTTCCTCAGCCCTTGGGAGTGATGATCTTGGGTTGAGTCACTGTAGGAAAAGAGGCCCGAGCCAAGAATGTGTGCAAACGACACGTTCCAGCACCTGCATGCTTACGCCTCACACTCCTCCATATCCTTCCACACTCTCACAGACAGCGTCAGACAGAGAGAGAGACTATCTGGTGCTAGCTATGATGAATTAAACAAAAATAGGACTCAACATCTATCCAAGTAGAACAATACTGATCCAGCATCAAAACAATTCCTACTTCACACCTTTTCTAATGCACACATTTATGGGAAGAAACAATTAATATACACTGAACAAAATTATAAACGCAACACTTTTGTTTTTGCCCCCATTCTTCATGAGCTGAACTCAAAGATCTAAGACTTTTTCTATGTACACAAAAGGCCTATTTCTCAAATATTGTTCACAAATCTGTCTAAATCTGTGTTAGTGACCACTTCTCTTTTGACCGAGATAATCCATCCACCTCACAGGTGTGGCATATCAAGATGCTGATTAGACAGCATGATTATTGCACAGGTGTGCCTTAGGCTGGCCACAATAAAAGGCCACTCTAAAATGTGCAGTTTTATCACATAGCACAATGCCACAGATGTCGCAAGTTTTGAGGGAGCGTGCAATTGGCATGCTGACTGCAGGAATGTCCACCAGAGCTGTTGCCCGTGAATT